GTTAAGTATTCCAAATTACTTTGTATGATAAGTTGATTGAGTTAGCCGCCATTGTAAACGTATTAAAGAAAACATTTTTGATAATGTAAGGTAAGGTAAGGTAAGAATTAGGCTACGCATTGCTTCCGCACACACCGTATTCTGCGTATTCTCACATATTCTGAAATAAATATGTACATATGTACATACATATATCAAATGTTTTTCGTTTACTTAAAATTTTTTTGGCCGTTTAATTTTACTGAGAATTATTTTCTATACGCATACCAACAATTAATTATTGGAGTTTTTTTTTTTTTTTTTTTTTTTGAATACATTTAGATCAATTAATAATTCCAAAGAATCATTTGGATTTTGAAAGGAAATATGTGTATTAATGAAGATGTGATAAGAGTTTGCAGAACATCTGAACCAATTGTTATCCATCAATTAAAAATCCAACACTATGTTTAGTATATATAGTATTATCTGAATTGAAATTTTTGTTTTCTAAATAATAAATATTTTCTAATCAATTTAATAAACGTATGTAAATTTCTCCACCAAAACCCTCCATTTCCCATGAATTTCGTTTCATATATGTATTATAAATACATAAATATACATATGTAAATAAATGTATGTGCATACATACATACATATTTGTAATATACATATGTGCGTTTGTATTGGTATTTATTGAAAAAATATAAAATTCTAAATTTATGTTGAATGTCGAGAAACGCTAAATTTCAAGGTAACTAAAGTGATTTTCTATTTAACCGCTCAGCATTTGTGCAGTCATTTCAATCTGTCACAAGCGTAACGATATCACATAAATACACGATCAAAGCTATAAGCATTTTCAAAGCAGATACAAATACAACAGACAACAATATATGCTGCTTGTGCAAGCGCCAATATAGCACATACATACATATGTATATACATATTCATATATACATATTCATATATATGATATTTGATGAACATGTGTACACAGTAATGTGCAAAATATATGCGACTATTTGAAGTCGAATTATTGTAAAAAACCACAAATACCAAATTACCGATCATCAACTTGAAGAATTCTATGAATTTCAAGACATCAATTAAAAGATATTTTAATAATGATTCTATCTTTAGCATTACTTCCCAAACCAAATTTTATGATTGTGCTTTATTCGTACATTTCGCTTGATCGTAAATATTAATGCTACAGCTGCCCATTGTCGTCGCTAAAATTATAAATGGTTTTAATTTAGCGACAACTGCAAGCATGCTGTGGTGAAATCGTGCCGCTGTCTAAATAACTGTGCCCATAAGAACGTGTATATTTCATCTATGTATTCAGCGTTTAATATTTAAGGAATGGCGGGGGCAATTTGATGTATTCGTCCTAGATGAGTTAACTGAAATTCGCCTCAAGCTTGGTATGAATCACCAAAATTCAAATCATAATGAGATAAATAAAGTGAAATTATTTGTTCAAAGAAATAGTCGAGATATAACTGTTGCACATATTTTGCACAATATTGCATACTGAAGAGATATATTGATTAGGCTAAGCCTCTTTGAAAACGATCATAAAGATTTAATTTCGAAGGCTTATCTCTATATTTTATACCCTGAAGAGGGTTTATTAAGTTTGCCACGAAGTTTGTAGGAGCCAGAAGGAAATCTCAGAGATAAAATATATATATACCTACAAGTATATAAATGATCAGCGTGACAAGCTGCGTTGATTTAACCCTGTTCGTTTCTCTGTCGGTATGTTTGTATACACGCGAATTCCCTCAGTTTTTGAGAGAACGATCTAAAATTTTGCACACATCGTTTCCTCTCTTAGAAACTACTCATTTGTCGAAACCGATATCGGACTGCTATAACATATATCTGCCATAAAAACTGTACGATCAAAATCAAGTTCTTATATGGAAAACTTTTCTGTTTGATGTGAAATCTTCAAGAAAATTTGCAAGGATTTTTGTAGAAGGCAATAGTACAATAGCCGCAAAAGCATTCAACTACCATGCAAACTGACCGATCCAAAACAAATTCTTGTATGGAAACTCTTTTACTTGTAAAGGGTATTGTATTAATATTTTTTGAGAATATAAAAATTTATGTTTTTTCAAAAATTCCAATTCAGACAGCAGACAGAGCTTATGAATTTTCAGCTCATATGCTCGCAATCATGTATTTCTCGCTAAGAGTAATGAACCTTCCAACCTGCTCAGAACCGTTGCGCCCTTTGAAAGAACTCTAAAACAGCATAAAGCGCTTTTATTTGACCGCAACAAATGAAGAAACAAAGCTAAAAAAGTCAAACAATTACGTTTTGTTTGCATTTGTAAAATATGTACGCGCATACGCTTGCTTACAAACCGCACATATCACGTACATATGTATGTATGTATGCGTGTACCTTAGCGTAAAAAGCAAAAAGCCAACGAAAGAATCCCTAAAACTCCCTAATTTGATGTGAAATTTCGTTCTGGGTTGGCGTAGCTAACATTTGTAACTTTCACAAGACGGTAATTATGCCCATATGTAATTATATATACACATGATTACATATGGTATATACGAAAGCACTTACAAACGAATGAGCGTTATATATGTATACATGTATATATATATACGCACATATATACGTATAATGTACATGTGTTCAGGTGAATATGCCTATTCATTATTTTATATAATTTCACTGCTGTTTTCTCTCTTTCGTAGTCATTTTCTCAGACCATTTTCTTTGCCGCACAACGGTAAAAATAATAAAGCAATCATATGGTCATTTCCACAGCGCAAAGTACACTTGCATACCTGAACAGACACGCACATGAAGTCATGAACATGCTTACATGTGTGTGTGTGCGTGTGTGTATGTATTAAAGTAACTATATAAGCGCTTATAAAGCTTCTCGCGACCGCATCGGAAATGAAAATGGAACTTAAGTCGCCGACCAGATTCGACCCACAATTAAAGCTTTTAAGATGACTAGTGCTTGGCTTTTAATGACCCCGAAGCATAAAATAAACTAGCCAACGACCTATCCGCACCACCGTCTAATAGGTCAGCTTGTGAAATGAGCGGCTGTTCGGTTGTCCCTAAGGTTTTGCTGGAATTTTTTTGTTCGCCGAGATTAGATCGCGCCGACATTAATCACATGTACACCTATGTATGTATGTAAGTGTGTGTATGTGCGAGTGAAATCTGATGGAATACAGGTGCATCGCTTATTGGGGAATGCTGTGCAGTAATTTATCAACTTTCTTTTAGCATGTATTACTTTGAGCGCTTTCGTATATACCTATAGGCATACAGTTAATGCATTTCTATATATAAGTATAATTTGTATTAACTTAAATCGGTTTCAATATCGTTTGAACATTGATCATAGATATTAGTTAAACAGTTATAATTTTGTCAGAAGTGGAGAGCAGAAATCAATTAATGCAAGATCTTTTTTATTCTTACTGTTTAGCTCATTGATGGCGTCAAGATAGATGCTTTTTATTCCATCGCAGCATGTTGGACAGCGCAACTAAATAACAACGATTTGATGTATGTGTGGTCATATTTAATATATTACAATGATTCCAATGACGACACGAAGTAGTTTGGCTGGGTTGTATTGAAGAATCCAAGGGGGGTTAATATTTAATAAAAAAATAAAACCTAGAATACTATAACTCTTTAAACTAAAAATATAATACAGAAATCTGACACATACATACACATAATTTTTGGAATAAGTAAAATTGAGTAATAATTACTTTATCTTGCCGACTACTTAAGGGGTTAGGAAAGCCTAAAGCTCTCAAAAAAACCTCCATCCAAGAGGAGAGAAAAAGTAATCTAATTTCTCTCTTGCAGACTTATTTAAACATGTATTTGTATGCGTAAAAAAAGTGTATTAACATTTGCATACAAAATGGCGCCTACTGGACAATCTTGCGAATCACGTCTTTCAAGAGAGCCTGTATGAGTGACAATTGTTCCAGGTAACTTGTGATATCTTAAACACAATAATAAGCGGAAGTTTAATCTACATCAAACTTCCTAGTCTTTCTTTTCTGACGCCAATTTTTATACCGAGAGCAGGGTATATTTGACATTAAGTTTGTAACACCGAGAAGAAAACATCGGAGATCCTATAAAGTATATACCACAGAATAGCAGCGGTGCACCGCAACAAAGAGTACAACGCATTTCTACTTGCGTATTTTTCTTACTTCTGTATCCAAAACGCTCAACCAAATACGAACTAGTTGTTTTTGACCTTATTTGTATAACCTTTTATGCTATAGGAAATGCACCTGTGAAAGGTAACGATTTTACTTGTTATATTCCCTTTTTTCACACAAAATAAAAGCGAAAGTTATCAAAATTAATTTTTCTTTCAAATATATATTTTATTAAATTGTTCATTCGCCAATAACAAAAGATATTGTGATATACTTTTTTTATTACAATTATATTCTTAAGTAATTTTTACAAATTTTCTCACACTGATAATCAAATAATTACAATTACTATATAATTTTTTCTTCATAATTTACATACATAAGAATATCTACAGTTGTAAGCTGTTTACTGGGTTTCACTTGCACAAAACACTGAAGCACAAACGATCAGCTCAAGCGCATACACAAAACACACATTCTACATACTAATACTACTACATAGTATATTGTAGTTTGTTGTATCTACTATATACAAATCAACAAAACAAAAATATGTAAAAAATTTATTTAAAAATTAAATAAAACAATTTAAAATTAAATTTAATTAAAAATATATATGTATATATGCATATATCTTAAGCAAAAAAATTGTCACTAAAGAACTAAAATAGTATTTATAATTAATTGATCGATCATAAAATTAATGAGGAATTAAAGAGTTTAGAGTTTGAAATGCTTAATATGCACTAGCAGCAAAACAAATAAATTATAATTACACAATCAAATAAGTTGCTAGAAAAGGTTGTAAGGACTATTATTGTTATTGTTGTTGCTTTTTTTTTTGTATTTTAAAGTTAAATCTTACTATTTTCGACTATTGCCATTGCGCATATGCTTCAGTGCATTCAATACAACACCAACAAATGCAACTGCGCCGACAAGCGTGTATGGTTATAACGGCACACAGTTTTGATTTTTATTTTTTGTTTAAAAATTCAGATTTTATCATCAACTAAAATTTTAATGAACGAAATGCGCACTTTGAATGCTATTTTTTTCGAAATTTCTCAAAATCAACTGTTGCATAAATCCAACCATTACTCTTACCAGCGCAGTATTTTATTACATAATTTGTTTGAATTTGCTTACAAAATTGTTTGTTGCACATTTATTTTATTTTTATTGTTTTTAGTCTATTTCTTTATATATTTTTTGCTTGTGTTGTAGTTTTGCCTTTTTTTGTAATTCTATGAAGTGTTGCATTGTGAGTAAATTAAAAATAAAAATTTAATTTGTTTAAAAATTTTGTAATCATTTTCAACCCATAATAAAAATACAAATTCGATGTACATTCAATTAAAATAATTAGTTTTTATATTATGTAATGTGTGTTGTTTTTTTGGTACTTTTATGTATATTTCTTTTTTATTAAAGAGGAAAAATAATACTCTTACACACACACTACAACATTGCTAAATTGAGATCATTCCAAAGTTTTTTTTTTTTGTATGAATGTTTTGGTTAATAACACAGGCCAACAAATTGAACGATTGACATGATGATATGGGGGAGGAGTGAAAACTTAAACGTTCGTAAAAAAAAAAAATAAAATAAAAAATAAAATAAAGAAAGTAAAATTGCACTGGCCAGCCACTCTACACACACAATTTCGCTGCTTCTTATTCGCTTATGCCGCGCCGCGCAGCCGTTTGTTCCTTAGTATATATAGCCATACGGAACTGTGGGCTGCACTTTGTTAGCCTGCGTGCAAATGCGTTAATATACTTTTATGTATGTATACTTTTTTAAACTTAACACGCCACTTTGACTTTTTTAGTAGCAATGACAGTATGTTTTTCATACAAAAACAAATATTATAAACATATAAAAAATTAAATAAAATAAAAATAAATTACAAAATAAAAATAAAAATAAAATTTAAAAATAGCAAATAATGAATTTCACTAATTCGGCAATTGGCGTCACAAGCTGCACGCAGCTAATGACAATGTCTCCGCCAGTTGTGTAATTATCATTTTGTGTTTTTTGTTTTCAATTTTCACAGTTTTCAAATCAATGTGCTCTCCCCTTCAGCTGCAGCAGCAAACGCTTAGTACATAACCCGCATTATCACATCCATCTAAAACATTTATCAGCATCTAAGGCGGTGGTATGGCTTTTCGCTTTGGCATCACATCTAAAAGCAAACACAAAAGAAAGAGAAGGGAGTGAAAAAACGATCAGTGCATATGCATTTAGTAGTGAAATAAAAATATTAGTACATTTATGATTGCTGTTGATTAGTTGATTGTTCATTAATGCTGCATATGCTTGTATTATATGGCATCTTTACACTTCCAACTTCTTGGACGGAGCGCTGTGCTCGGCAAATGGTAAATGACCTTCATAATAGTAAGTCCATTCACACGCACCCGAATGTAAGCGCTTATCAATTTGTCACAAGCAGTAAAAGTGCACAGCACAAATATCGTTCAAGTGGTCGGTCGGCATACAACAACAAATACAAAGAGTAAACATGGCATATTACCTGCGACGCAAAAATGGCATTAAAATGCACAGCATTGTGCCAGTTGCTGATAACGACAGATTCGAATGAAATCGAAATGCATATAAAGCAACACGTAATCATCACACACACACACATATATACACGCACACGCGAATCATGTTTGACAAATGCTAATGGAAAGAGTGCAATTATCGATCGTTCGATGAATGCAAATAGATTGCATTTGGTGGAAGAGCACTGCCGCAAAGCTGCTCTAATCTTGCTCCAAATAGATAATAAAAGCTTGGTATCATATACGAGTATATAGATTGGATGCCTAAATCACTAATAAGCCAACTTTATACACTAGATTTGTGATTTGGAATTTGTACCATATTGGTAAATATTATTATTAATAAACTGCGAATAGCTGCATGCGATGAGGGTTCTAAAATCAATGTCTAAATAATTAATATTTCTTCACTGACAGCCAATAAACGGTTACTAACAAATCAACTGGTTTGACCCATATTTTTCAATATGCAAAGTACTGAAAGTATGCTTTATTATACGATATACGGAAAAAGCAGAGAATAACATAATTTTAGAAAATGCTTTTGTCTTTCATCGAATCATAAAAACTTAGTGACACAGCTGTTTGCGAGGTCTCACTTTTCGTTAGTCATTTCGTGGAATTGTTTGAGCAAAAATCACTTGAAAATCTAACAGTAGATGAAAATGAATTTTATATCCAAAGAATGTTTTATTTTTCATATATACCAGGGTTGCATATAATGAAATAATATTAAAAATATAATTGAATTGGAAATTGAACATTTATATTGAAAAATACATTATTTGTTTTGTATGCTTGAAAATCTTAATTTAAAAAATTTTTCAAATTACTAGTACCAAATACCAAATGCAAGGAAAAAAATTAATGCCAAATACCGGAATGAAAAAAATAATAATCACAAGTTTTTAATTAAAAATTAAAAAACAAAAAATGTTTTTGAATTAACATGTATTCATTTTTTTAAGATTGTAAATTTAGTTTTTAATCCAAAATTGTTTATTTAAAAAATTCACAACCTTTATGTACATACAAAATTTTTTCCAAGTATTCGAGTTACTGAAGTTAAAGATTTGTGAAAATGATTTGAATTTTTTTTTTTAACCTATTTGAACAGTAATAGTCATAGTCATTTCAGGAAAATGTTTCAAACTTTTTTATTTATTTAAATATTTATTTTATCATATTTAGATTGTAGTGAAAACGAACAATATCCCTTAGTTGACAATTATTTTATAATTCGAAAAAACATGAAAAACTTGTAATGTTTTTTATTTTTGAAAGATGGTACATATTACTAGAAATAATTCCAATTCGAACAGACTGTAAAATAATATTTTCAACTTATATTTATTTAGTCTAATTATCGTGCACTTCATTAAATGCTTAAACAGTCAATTTCAACCACAGAATTAAAAAATCATATAAATACATTTTAATCCGAAAATCGCAATTAGAAATGCCCAGAAATTACAATTAGCCATGCTTTTGATTATAACTAATTACGGATTCACTCTAAACACAAATTTTGTACTAAAATCAAATTAAGCTGTTTAGAAGAAATTGTGCAACAATAAGTAATGAAACCTTTTCCTCGCTAATCACGTTTAGCAGCCACACTCATATAAAAATTTTCCGGTTAAAAATTATTCTATCCGTTAAAATAATGTTAGATTACGCTTAAAATCAACTTAAATATACATAAACTACTTTCATACTTTCATGCGGCAATACTAATCAGCAGCGGCATTTGAAAATATAGAAACCAAAAAAACAGTTTAGCTAATTTCCACTCGCCTTAGATTTTTGTATTTTTTCACGTTTCATTTCAATTAAGCATGGCTTTTTCAACAGCTGTAATACTTTCGAAAACACACATTTACTACACAGACATACACGTATACACAAACTTGTAAAAATCACTACACACCATATTATTGTATTTGAAATTTTACGAAAAATAATAATAAAACAAAAAACTAAAAAATTAAAATAAAAAAATTAACAAACAGCTCAACTAACTAATAACAATGCATATAACCTAAAAATTGCGCATTGCAAGTTTTCACCATTATTTCGACAAAACAAAGCAGAAATATTTGAAAACAGCCAATCAAACAGCGAGCTCATAACTGGGACACACTTAAAAGGCTAAACACTGCACACTTAGCCAGCGAAGGCAAACTGCCACTCAGACAATCAGTCAAACCACACAAAACAAGCAACTAAGTGATTAGTGGGAGAGTCAAAGAGACAGTACGACGCTTGGCCATAAATTCATACTACATGTTTTTCTTACAACACATACGTACATATACATACATACAAAAATACACACATTCGCACACATACATACATATCTGCATTGTAGTTTCGGTCCAAACGTGCTGAACGTGTTGGCATGAAGGTAAATAAACCCGCTTTGCCCGCCACCGCAACGCGTCCTCGAAAATAACCAAACAGACAAAAGACACTAAGTCGTTAATGACAGCGTTGAAGCGGCTGTTGTGCGACAATCAAAACAATACGAAACTATTTTGCCGTTTTTCCCCCTTATTTACAGTTATAAGTTATAAACAAAATTGAAGTTAAAACAACAAAATGGCGGGCAAAATAATAACAACCGCTTTAAGCTGCACACACAACAACAAAAAGCGACAAAAATGGTGGATTAAAGTCAACACAATAATCGCGTCGCGACTAAATACATTGGCAATGGCGCTGAGTTGCTTTCTTTCGCTCAACTTTCTTTCTATATAAATATGTAATCGATACACACATCCATACATATGTACAAACGAAGAAAATTATGAGCCATCACTACTTATTAGCACACCAGCGAGTCATGGTTGACACCGTCGTAGTCGTCAATATTGTGGTCACTCGTATAACGTTGACGCTCGCCGACCGACCGCTTTTACGTTTTATAAATATTTACGAAAGTTGTATAGCAAATGGAGTAAAATAAATTGACACAAAAAAACAAAGTATGAAAATTAGAAACCAAAATCAAAACAAACCACAAAAAAACATAATAATAATAACAGTGAAATGCTTAACTTGTAGGTTAAGTATGCGCTATCGCTACTGTAGTATTGCGGTAGACAACTTTTTGTTTGTACACACATTCTCATACACAACCACAACTTATATTTGTATGTATGCATTAATCGATTGAACGTGCGTAATAAAAAGGGTTACGCAGTTGAAAATGGTTTTGCGCTTGGCTCCAAGGCGAAAAGCGTCCGCAGGCGCTTGATCTTCTGTTCGAGAATAAAAATGCTGAAATTGAAATGTCAAATGAGAAGTTTGTTTAATCATTGTTGTTGCGTGCAGCGTTTTATTCACTTTTTTTAATTTTTATTAGCTTTCTAATCATAACAATAAGCCAATACCTATGTATGGCTATGGAACAAACCGGAAGCGGAACAAGATATATAATACAATAGATGAACAGAAGAAACGAATTTACACGTACACACACACTTATTTCACATACTATTTTACCGTGTAGGAAAATAATTAATAAATCGGAAAAATGTCGATAACCAAAACACCTCCGAATTATCGTTTCTTCTGTAGAATAAGAAGGATTAAAATTAACTCTATTCAAAATCACTCCATATTAATTAATATTTGTATTAGGGGCGACCTCCTAATGAAGCGAAATCAGAATAAAAATGCTTGAATAGACGTAACAAAAGAAATATATATATTGGATTAGAAGTTTCTTCAAATAATCCCTTATTAGATTAGATATTAGAAACACAAAAAAAAACGTTAACTTCGGCTGCACCGCAGCAATAATACTCTACAGAATTAAATTTTACATAAAAAGATTTCTTTATCTCGCTTTCGTTCGGTCACTTTGTATGGCAGCTATAGTGGTCCGATATCGGCGGGTCTGACAAATGCGCTGCTTCTAGCGGAGAAAAGGACTTGTGCAAAATTTTATATCGGTATCTTAAAAACTACAAGGCTAGTAACCTATAGACAGACGGACAGATGGCATGGCTTAATCGACTCAGCTCGTCACGCTGATCATTTACATATATATTTTATACGTTTTCATCTATGTATTACAAACTTCGTGTCAAACTTAATGTACCTTATTTTAAGGGTAAACAATTGAAGCCCAAAAATTATGTAAGACAACGAAATATCGTCGCAGATGCCGAGTTCTTTGAGCTCCGCCTTATTGTTAGTTACACGCAAAAGTCACTAACTCTAAATTACAATTTTCAGGATTTTCAAAAAAATAACAGTTAAGTGTAGATCAATAGTATAGAAATCTAAATACCTGATCTTTTTGATAAGTAAACCATTTTAATCGCGTTATGTATGTTTATTACTTAAAATCTAAATTAACGAAATATATTTTTAAATAAAAAAATATATAAAATTTAATTTTTTAATTGAAATATTTCAATTAATTCGTTCAAATTCAATTAAAATCGCAAAGAATTCCTACTGGGTGAAGTAAGCTCCAACGGCAAGTCGTACACCCACAGACTCGCGTCAACAACAGGCCAAAGTGTACACGCACAAAACCCAGTTCTGCGTATCGCCTTGACTGCATCGCAGACAAAAAATCGTACAAGTCAGAGTCAGAAAT